TAATACTTTATAAAAACGTAAGTAATTTACAAAATATAAGAAATCGAAAATTGAAAGTCTTTAGAAAAATTTATTTTATTTTTTTTTAAATTTATAAGATTTATTATTCTAGTATATAATTCATACCCAAAAAGGTTTATAAAGTATAATGATAAAAAATTTATTTAAATTATTTAAAAAAAAAATATATCAAAAGAAATAAATATATGTTTTATAGTTATTTTTAAGATAATGGTTTTGTTTTTTTTTTAATTAATACAGATTCTTTTTTTCACAAAGGAATGTTTATTTCAAGATATTATCAATACAAACTAGATAGAGGGCCAACCCCAAACCCTTTTTTCACAAAAATCTTGTTACTAAAATCAACACACAATCTTAGCCAAATATTGAAACAAAAACTTATGACCCCTAAATAAATTCTAAAAATTAAGGTTTAATTGAAATACTTAGCATAAATTATATTTTGTTATTTTATGAAAATTAATAAAAGTATTAGATGATTTAAAAAGGAACTTATTTCTAGAAACAGAATATAATTTCGTATACATCATTTCATGTTTTCACTATATTTGATTCTTTGTCTATTATTATCAACAATGATAATTGACAACTTGCTTTGGTAAATTAGTTCCAATGAAATGCTTTGGGGCAAAATTATTTGGACATAATATGAACAAAGTGATACTCAGAATAAATGCATAAAAAGCAATTACTTTGTAAACTAGAGCCTTCAGAATTAGTTTATGAAGTAATCAAGATGGTTATCCAACATGGCTATAAAAAATATGAAGATATAGTTCTTGTGTTTAGTAAAATAATATTAGAAAAACAGTTCAAGTTATGACTTAAGGAGTTGAGCTTGGAACAAGAAATGTTATTGAGATGCAGATGCTAATGCTGATAAATTAATTTACAACATCAAATTGTTATCAAATAAAAATTTTGGAAATTTTCTTCTTTCAAAATTTCAAATCTAAAGGCAAATACTGTGGTGACTTTTATCATAATAAAGATTTTTAATTAAAAATAATTTTCATTTTACTAAAGACCTTAATTAATGACTTTCATTAAAATAAAGACTTTTGAATAATTTTAATTTTACAACTAGTGTTCAAGTCTTGAAATTTAATGAATGTAATCAGAATTAATATTCGTTGGGAAATTCAACTCAATTCCTTCATAAAATTTAATTTACTTATTACAGTTCATGATGGATTAAAGGAATTTTTCATTCTTCATCTATTATTTTGGGTAGAAAAACAAGAATAAGAGTCGATGGGACTCAATTCAATATCAAATTTTATTTAAAAAGGTTTAAACTTGAATCTATTAAAAATGTTTATAAAGTATTAAAAACTAGAGATATATAAATTTTGAAATTAAAGGAAATGATCCTTTCTATTAGAATAAAGGGGGATAATCTTTTAATTTTAATAATAAACTTTGCAATTCAATCATTTTGTATTTTCCTCCAATAAGTATTAACCTGATTTAATACCACTATCCTATTAATATTTAAATCTGATTTATACTTAATTAACATCAATTTGTTTCATTTCTATCTTGTTTAATATTTCCATTGTTGTCTGCTCAAATAATTATTCTATATTATAAGCCGTTTTTGCAGATATTTCAATATATTGCATTTTGTATTGATCAGCAAATGCTTTTGCTTGTTCAGTCGATATTTGACGACTAAAATATATAATTTGAAATATATACTCAGAATCCAAATCAAATTTATTGCCCACCAAAACTATTTAGGCATATTAAGAAACTTAATCTTTTATATCATTGTACCAGTTTAATATATCTTGGAATGAAACTTAGTTTGTGATATCAAAAACTAAAAATACTCCCACGGCACTAATTTATTTTATATATTATATACCTTTTAATATAACATTTTGTAATTTACTTGAAGGCATCTTATCCTGATGTATCCCATATTTATAATTTAATTGTTTTCTTGTTCTTTTCAGTAATTACAGATCCAAATTCAACACCTATTGTACAATCATATTATTCTAAAATTTTTTTTTCTGTGATTTATGATAAAATGCTTGACTTTCCAACTCTTACATTTCCAATTAGAATAAATTTAAATAAATAATGGTATTAGTCCATCCAATTTATTATTATTATATATTTTTAAAATATCTAAATGAAATAAATTATATATATAATTTATAATAACTCATCAATAAATCTTTTAGCAATAATTATAAAAATTTATTTTAGGATATAATGAATAATAGTGTCAACCAAATTCTTCTCTAGTCTTAGATAATGAAAATAAATCATTAATTTTTTTTTATTGACTATTTTTTCATTTCACCATATATCATCTAATAATCTTCTTAACAATGATTTAAATAACACGTTTAGACAATTAATAATATCATATTTCTAAATAAAAATAATTCTTAATTGAGATTTAAAATACATTATAACATTTTATAAATTTTTTAGTAGAATTGAATATTCTTTTCATAAAATATGAGGCATATCATTCATAATATAATATTATATCAATTATTGTATCAAGCAGAGATTAATGTAAATAATAGTAACAAGTGAAAAGATTAAATAATAATTTAATTGATTTAAATGAAATCCTATAAGTGAAATAATGAATAATGATCAATAAAATTAAAATAATAAATAACTTAACAGAATCTTTTTCAATAAAAATCATTTTTAAAATAAAGTTTTTCGTAATCAATTAGATGAAGAAAAAAACAAGACCAGAATCTTTCATAGTGGCTTTTATTTATGATGCGGACCATTTTTATTCATTATAGTTATGTATTAAAATTAAACAAAATTTGTTCAATAAACTCTCTTTTTTGGTAATACAGTATCAAATTCCTTAGAATCTAATGTCTTAGTGATAACCTATAGAAATAATAAGTTTAAATGGTTACATCTCTAAAACTTATTTCAACATCTCCGCTTTAGATATCCTAAATTCTAGTCAAGGTATGTTTCATCCAATTTGTATCATCTCTTTCAGGATAATCATCTCGAGCATGAGCTCCTCTTGATTCCTTTCTACATAAAGCTCCTTCAATAGTCATTTTAGCTTATACTAAAATAGATTTAAGGAGAAAGATATACAAATTAGAAAATCCAATTCTAATCCTTCAATAAGATCAGAATTCCACAAAAGTCCTTTATCTTTAATTTTGATATCATCTTTTCTTTAATAAATTTCTTTGACTTTTTAAACACCTTCCTGTAATGTTTTTTCAATTCTAAAGACAGAAGCATATTTTTGCATAGTTTTTTAAAGATTCTTTCTAACTTAAGGAACTGATTAAGATCCTTCTTTGAATCTTAATTTATCAATTCTGGCAATCGTATTTTCTCCTGCATTTTTAGGTAGATCAGGTTACTTTTATCCAGGTTTCCAATTTTCTCCTACAATAATTGCAGCTTGTTTTCCAAAAACAATGATATCTAATAAAGAATTGCCCCCCAATCTATTAGCACCATGAACTGAAGCACAAGCAGCTTCTCCAGCTGCCAATAGTCCAGGAACAATTTGATCTTTACCATTAACCTAATTTAGAACCTCAGTTCTATAATTGGTAGGTATTCCACCCATATTATAATGAACAGTAGGTAAAACAGGTACAGGTTCTTTGGTTGCATCAACACCAGCAAATGTTCTAGCAGTTTCACAGATTCCTGGTATCTTTTCATGTAAATTAGGTAAATGATCTAGATGTAAGTAGATATGGTCTTTTTCAGGTCCAACTCTATAAAGAGAATAATATAATTATATACCCTCTTCCTTCTAAGATTTCTTTAGTCATTGCTCTGGAAACTACATCTCTGCTAGCTAAATCTTTAGCTGTAGGAGCATATCTTTCCATAAATCTTTCTCCCAATGAATTTCTTAGAAAACCTCCTACACCTCTACATCCCTCAGTCATCAAACATCCACAACCATAAATACCAGTGGGATGAAATTGAACAAATTCCATATCTTACATAGGTAAACCTGCTCTAATTGTCATTCCTCCTCCATCACCTGTACATGTATGAGCTGATGTGCATGATTGATATACTCTTCCATATCCACCTGTTGCTAATATTGTATATGCTGCCCTAATACGGTGTATTGATCCATCTTACATCGACATACATAATACTCCTCTACAAACTCTATATATATAATTAATATTCTATATTACCCTTAATCATCCATAATCAAATCAAGGCCAAAGTATTCCATAAAAAAGGTACAATTATATCCTAAAGCTCTACCAAACAATATATGAAGCATTTCATGACCAGTTTTGCCTGCTACACAAATTCTATATGCTAATTCTCCAGCCCCCAAATTCTACCTTGATCCTCCTGAAGCCCATTATTTTATTTTTCCTTCTGCAGTTCTATAAAATTTCAAACCATAGCTTTCCAATTCGTAAATTATATTCGGTGCTTCCTTACACATATAAGTAATCGCATCTTAATCTCCTAACCAATCCGATCCCTTAATAGTATCATATGCATGCCTTAATATTCATCAATCATTACCATTTCCAATTATCTTCTCCCATATTTCCTAATGATGCATTCATCCCAATAGCTGCTAAAGTATGAGATCTAGTTGGAAACAGCTTCGAAATGCATGCTGTTTTGAAACCTTGCTCTACTAAACCTATTGCTGCTCTTAAACCTGCTCCTCCTCCTCCTACTATAATTGCGTCATAAGTGTGATCTACCACTGTATATTAACCTGTTAAATGGCCCTATCAATTTTATTTATGTTTGTTACTTAAGAAGGACCTATATCTGGCTTATTTCTTGATATGACACCAAAACGATTCATTATTTTTCTAGCTTGTTAAATGTATATTGCATTGATAGTCTCTTTGAGCATTATATTCATTGAAATTATTAAGAAATTAAAAATTATGATAATGTAATACCTTGTTCATTTTCAATAAAATCTAACAGAAATTAAACTCATAGTATCACTGTCTAAAAAGAATAACCAAAAAGACTTTTAATTTATCAATATTCCAAGCCTTAAGAAAAAAAATATCATAATTCTAAGCGCAATAATATAATAAATTATGAACTATAATTTAATCCATTTTAATAATTAATATACATTTATGAACTCATTCAAGAGCAAGAAGATTCCTTCTTGAAGTGAAAAGAAAAGGTAGATATCTGGTAAAAGATAATTACAAGAAAGACAGGAATGCCAAATAAAGTTCTTTGGATTAGAAGAATCTAGAGCATCAAAAAAATAGATAGAGATAATGAATAAATTTAGATGTCATGAATTCAATTTAGCTTCAAAAATAATGAATACAAGAAAAAAAACAGTTTTGATTGAATAATTCAAGAAATTAATAAAAGCTATAAGACTGAGAAAGAATAAAATTATAGAACAATCTAAATGAAACCAATCATCTCATTCATCACATTAAATCATTAATTATTGGAATTTTGTGGTAATTAACATATTCAACTCTTTTTTCATAATTATATATTTGTTATATGTTTAATTAATTAAAGAGTTACAGTTCTAAAAAGAATCGAGGTTTTTCTTCAAATTCATATTCTTCCAAGTTAGTATTTTTATTTTTAGTTGAATATTTTTGGAATTGAGTAAAAATAAAGAGTTTTCTATGAGAAATACATTAAAAAAAGTTTCAAATATATTTTCAGATATACATCTTATAATGTGAAGTAATGTTGATATTTAATAAATATGTTGCATAATAAGAACATGTTATAATCGATTGCTGAATTTATGATTATTATAAATAAAATTGATGAATTACTAAATTCAATAGTGATAGATTAATTTTTCATCAGGAATTGAGATTAATTTAATGATTTTAATTAGAACATGAGTTTTCTAATGAAATACTGATGATGGATTAAGTGCCTTGATTGCTATATTTTAATAAAATTATAATAATTTTTATAATTATGAATCTATATTGCAATATAAATAAAGAAAGTAGAATTAATTATCATATTTTAACTTTAGAATTTTTTCCTATATTGCTAAATATTATTAAACACAGATTGAGGATAACAAATTTGATGATATCTAGTAATATGAGACCAAAGAGCAATCTTGTATAGAAATGCAATTTTTCAGTATTAAAAGATATTTAAATGAGTAAAATTGGTTCAAAAACAATAACTTCTATACTTTTAAGTATATAACTACTAATGATGAAAGTGGTTACAGAATTATTTTTATCCTTAAATGGGTACATGGTAATCCATTATAATTCAATTGGTAACATGATAAACATGGTTGTACGAAAGGATAGAATATTATCCTTATAATTGATAGGTTTGAGATCTTCTTGATTAGGGCAAATCTCTTGAATGAAATTAGCTCTAAAAACATAACTCATTGGTAAATAAGATCTGTTTTAAAGATCATATTTATCCATAAAAATCAATTTAGATGTTGTTAGCATATGTAAAATTCTAGGAGTTAATAAAAAAATAATAAAATAAGCTGTAATTATCTTATCTTAAAGAGGGTTTATTAATTAATCTTCATCAATTGTCCTTAAACAAAAAAACACCAAAATAAGTGTCCTTAAACAAATGTCTAACATGATATTGAGCAATAACCATATTTTCATTCTAGGATTATTTGTAATATACTCCAAATACAAAAATGTTATATTGATAGGTATTATCTCTTTTTAAAATGAAGGTTGTACTTATTTAACTTCTCTTCCTAAAAGCCTTAATTAAATAAATTATTATTATGCCACTTCATGTTGTTGAGTAGAAATAGGAGAATCTTTGGATTCACAATTATTGATGTTCTGCATTTCTATATTTATTGATTTTTCATCTCCTTTCTCATGAAGATCATCATCTAAACTGTGAAAACTGTTAGTCTAGTTTTAATCATGACGTAAAGAGAAAAATATACTTTGAGAAGTCTCCTAATTTTCATTGCTTTCCATTATTTATGGAATTATAATTATATTTTAATTTATATTGGATTCTTTCTTCTTGGAATCAGGTAAGAGCATGAAAAAAAACCAATCAATTGTTATTATAAATATATTTTCTATCTTCGATAAAGTAGTTGTTTTGTTTCGATCTTAAGATCACTTTTATCTATAGATACATTTATAATATATAAAAATAATGATATATATCATAAATATAAGTATTTTATGATTGTAATATTTATACTATATAAATCATTCTTATTAACCTATTATGTTCATTAGATATAAACCTTAGGCTAGAGAAGAAGATTAATAATCATATTTCAAATTTGGTCTTATGAGAATGATTATTTCAATTCTGGTTCAATATTAACTAAAGCTACATAGAGGGATGGTGATGATATTCATGTTGATCATCAGAACGAGTTCCTGATATTTATTGTAACATAAGGAAAAACACATTCCTAACTTTGTTCTTGATGAAAATACTATAATATATTAAATGGCTGTTCCTCTATTTCTGATATAACAGTTTATATAATTATTTATTTAATACTATTATTATTTTACTTAATCTTATTTCTAATTAGGTAAATATTTTTCTATTCTTGGTAATTATTGTAAAAAATTCATAGATTTATACTTGATCTCTTAATATTCTGGAACTTAAATTATTTGAGCATTCCATCCATCTGATATATTTTTAATCTTAACATTTTATTCTTATTATTCAATTATTTGTTCAGATGTTAATGTAAATGATCATCATCATTTTGACGAAATTTATGGAAATTTTCATGTTTTTTATATTCTTTACGATCATAAGTTTGTTAATGATGTTTATATCTAAGTGTATTTGTAGGTGTATGTTAATGAATATACTTCTTTATTAATTTAATTTTATTTCGATTCTTTTTTTTGAATCATTTTTTGTAAATTACTCTAAATTCAAATCAATTTATGCTTCACTATCTTACTTGTTTTCAGATATACAGTAATCAATTTCTTATAAATTTTCATATTTATTCTCTAAAGTTTAACTTCCCTAGGATTTACTTTATTAATCGTAAGTTTAATTAATATAAAATATTTATTATTAATATCTTATTATTTTCTTTAATTCTTAATTTCTGATTGATTCTCACACGACAATACTTTTACTCTTATTAGTTTTTCAGATATAATAGGAGAAAATGAATTTGTCAAAAATAAGAATTATTCTCATTTAATAAAATCCTCGAAATGAAAAAAAACAAAAGAGTAGAAACATCTGAAGTTTAAAATAAAGGCTAAGATACTACATTTGCTTACAACATCTCAAGTAAATTAATTTTAATAAAAGAATTCTCTACAAATAGTGTGTTCTTAAAATTGTTTTAATAACAAAATCTCAAATTCTCAAATAAAATTATTGAATCTTTAAATATATAAGTCACATTTTAGTTTTAGAGATGGTTTATAATTGAATTAATCAAAGCTTTAACTTAAAATACAAACAAAATCAATTTTCTTATCTAAATAACTTTGTAAGCTCCATGACTTGGTACAATGGATATTATGTATAATTAAAGAATAGTGGAATTGGCAGTTAATAAATTGATTGAGATCAACTTAATTATTATTATGATTTCTTTATTATCAATTAAAACGAAGAAATAGAACTTCAAATAAGCGTTAAAGGATTTATAATTTATTTTAAGAACGATTATAATTTTAATGAAAGCGATTCATTTAGTATAATAAGTATTTTTATAGTACAAGACAAATTGTATTTTGATGGAAGATAAATGTAAAAGTTATCCTTGAAATTTTATTTAAGGACCTTAAAAATTACAACAATATGCCAAATAAGAGCTTCAATAAAACTAGGCAAAAATTTTCTTAACAACTTCTTATTCTATATTATTGTATGATAGTTTATAAACATTATCTAAAAGTTGCATTACATCATTAATAAAAAAATTTTTAACAAATAATTATTTTCTGTAGTTCCATAATTTTTTGAATTACAAAGAATTATAATTTGTAAATTTTGAATTTTCATATAATTATATTATTCTTGCTTGATTATTTATAATGATTCATTAAGTTAGGGATAAGGTAATATCATCTCTAATATTGATTTTGAAAAATTTTTTAATATAGCTATTAGCTTTAAATTTACATTTTTGATATATTAATCTTTTTTCATATAAATTTAAAAATTATAGACACACTCTCAAATGTAGTAATTTTTGATGCAACTTAATAATTATAGCTTTATAATTTAGAGTTTATGCTATTAAATTTTACAATAACATCTTAGAATTTCAAGCAATTCTTCGATGATTTATGTTTGTAATTAATAACCTAATAATCAATTTTGATTATTTCCTTTAAGTCAATAATAAGATTGACTGCATAAGTCCATATAGAATTCAAGACGCGATAATGTAATGTAGTTTATCCCACTTCCAAAATTGTTTTCCTAATGATTTATATAATAATATTATTCCACTATTAATAATTAGATTATTTCTTAAAGATTTATGTAAATTATGAATCCAATAATTGTTGAAGAATATCTATTAAAATTTGAATTTAATGTTAATCTCATTGAAGCTACCTTAAGCAAATGAAATTGAAATTCTTATTTCCTTCCATTTAGCGGTCTTGTATTTCTTAGAGTTCAAACTACTATAATTTTTTTGTTGAAAGAGTTGAATTTATTTTGATTTAATAAATTAAAGATTTATATTAAGTTATAATTTAATGATTAGTCTTTTATTGATATCAAATTTTCAATAATGACTGAATAAAACTGAAAAAAACATTAAGTTTAATAACTGGTTGAATTATTATAAAAAAGATCAAAAAAAAAGATGATTTTAATATTGATAATAAAGATCTATTAAACTCCCTATATTTTTGAAAGTTAAATTATTAAAATTATTTTTTCAGTTTCAAATCATTAAACATTTATAATAAAAAGATTGATACTACTTAATCAATAATTGATTTTGATAAAAGATCCATTAATGAATTCTTTGGTAAATAAAAAATTTAATTTATTTAGTTATAGTGTTGAATATTCTTGAAAATCATCATAAAGCGCACCAAAAACAATGCTTATTTATATGATGCTTAAAATGGAAGTTCATTATACAAAGATATAAAAAAAACAATTAATATAAAGTAAACACAAATTTATATACAAGTAAAAATTGTTTAATAAATGAAATTTGGTCAAATCCTCTGAATCCAATAACTTAGATAGAATAGTTTTGAATATTTAATAATAATTTCTTTTATTTGCAAAATGCAATTGAATGGCTTTGATATCTAATTTATGATATCATTAATAATAATGTATTACATATTAAAACCTGCTTTAAATAAATATCAATATTTGAAAAGTTATTTATCAAACAAAATTAGAGATCCAAATAAACTTTTCTATTTAAATTGTTATTAAAACTCTAATTTACATTAATAAACCTTAAAAATTAAATTAAAATTATAAATTTAATAGTTACTTGAAGTAATATTTTTTTTATTATCACCTTCTCCTCCCATATTTAATTTAAATATTTAAAATTACAGAATAATTAAGATAAATAACGATAAGAAAACATTCTATATTATTTTAATCATAATTACAAATATTTAATATACATTGTCATATTAATATAAAATAAATCAATTTTTTTCATCTTTTATTGCTAGTTTCTAAAATTCATCATAAAATACAAGAACTTATGCTGAACCAACAGATCTACATATGTTTGTGATATTTCCTTTATAGAATCCTCTAATTCCTTCTCTTTATGCAATTTTCTTGAAACAATCAAAAACTCCCTAGATTATTAGAACATAGAATTACATCATATTCAAGATTAGTCTTTTATCCAGCTTGCATCATCAATCTTCTTCTTGCAGTGTCAAAGGGATATACATATGTTTCTGAAACAGATATAACAAACCAAGCAAAAATCAATCTTGCAAATATAGAAGATTTTCTTTATGCAGCTTCATCCCCCCAAATAAGCCTCTTGCCAATATCATAACCTCTTATATTATACTAATTTTAGATATACCCAAAATATAAAGCACGATAAAAAAAAACAGCAACTATAGCAATTTAAAATCCTTAATACACTCCTCTAATACCATCAGTTTTCAGTATTGATACCAAACAATGTATCAGCCCTTTAAATTACCTTTAATCTGCTGCCTTTCCAATGTCAGCAGCTAATCTTGTTCTAGTAAAATCAAGCGGATAGGCACTTAAAGACCCAATACTACCAGCAATTCCACCACATAATAATGAACCTATAAAAAATCTAATTATATTTATTCAATACCTTCCTGGTTCTTTCTTAGCATCTACATCAGCTAAAAACTATCTATTAAGAGCATCTTTAAGAGAAAAATTTATAGCACCTATAGGAACATATCTCACTATATTTGATAAATTCCCTCTCCAAAATGAAAGAATCCCTTCTTCAAGGAATACTCTTTTGAAACAATCCAAACTTCCTAATTATCTTTTAAATGTCTTATTACCTTTATAAGGCCTTGATATTAATTTTGGATTTGAATGTTAAGTTTAAAGCAATAATTTCACCCTCTCTATTGGAGCTGCTATTGTTTTTGCCAATGCCCCTGAAACACCTCCTCCAACAAAATCATACAAAAATTTTGAACTTCCACCTGATGACGATTTTGCCATTTATATTTATTAATTTTCCATCAAATATCTCAAAAAAATTTAAACTACAATAATTTCCCTATTACAATCATTTATATATATATAAATTTTCATCCACAAATCTATAATATTACTTCTAAATCTCATTATATCATTAATTTACTTCTACTTAAACTTTTACATAAATTTTTAAGTTTTTATTAGTATTACAGAGTAATATTTATCCTTTAATAGCATATTTATTACTTTTAACTTAAAAATTTCCAAACTCTATCAAAAAGAAAGAATTGTTTTTTTGTAGAAAAAAATTTATAACGACAAATTTATAAGCATTTTATCAATAGTTTTCAATTTAAGAATCAAATAATAAACCTTATCAATATTTCATTTTTAAAATTATCGAACAAAGTCCACAAATAAAAAAAATATTAAATACTTTGTTATTCTTAATTATAGTACAAAAAAAATTAAATACCAATATTTTAATAAAATATAAAAAAAAAACCAATACTAATAAATAATGATTAAAAAAAAAATGAAAAATAATCTGAACAATTAACTTACAATTTACAAGAGCTCAAATTATAATTTATTATTGATTTTTCTTAATATTTCAATTATCGTAAATAAAAGTTGGAAGAAATTTAATCTATTTTTTCTATTCCTAAATTATTCTAATTAATATTTAAGAGATTTCTCAAATAAAAATTGATCCTTAATGCATAGAGTAACTCTATGTTCTCTTTTTAATTATTATCATTTCTAATCAAATGCTATCAACCTTATTTTTTTTATGCATCGATTGAACGCATTTTTGGATTTGGAAAACTTTATGTGTTAAATCATAAGTAGTATGATTAATTAGAATTTATTTAGTGAGCCAATCTAGTGTAGTTTGTCTGAAATACATAGGTTTGTTTTCAACAATTCCATTTTGTATTGTGTGAAAATATATTTATAGGTTGATACTAAATTTTGAATTCATAAAATATAATATGGCACGAATAATACCCAGACGATTAGAAAAACCATTTTTTAAATTCTAAAACAACCTATTTTATAAATAATTTTGATTTTTTAAGATATGATTATGAGAAAAAAACAGAAAGGATATTTGTTATAAATAATTCCTTGATTCAGATACTCGGAATTTATTTCCAGCTTTTTTATACTTTATTGTAATAATTTTTTCAAATTATATTCATCTACTTACTAGATTGTAAAGCAACTTGATAATTTAAAATAGAATCTTGATTAGGGTTATTATTTGGAGGTATTTTTTTAATATAATACCTTAATCAGTTTTAAATTCTTTTCTTGGTAGAATATCTAATGGTTCAACCTCTATTCAGTTTATAACAAAAACAATAGGACAAAAAGTTAATTGTTAATTTTTAAATAATTCTATCTAAATATCATGAAAAATATATCCTGGACTAGTTTTCAAATTATTCTATAAATAATTTAAATTTAACGAATTTCAAGATCACTTCTACTTTATATTTTCTTTTACATTTTCTTTAAATATTCTATGATGCTAACTTTTGTTTATATTCATTTTAAGTGAGCAACGAATTTAAAAACCTAACTTTTTAAGAGATCGGCTCTCATTTTATATTATACAAAGTGATAGTTTCGGGGTTTAAATTTTTTTTAACATCGATCCTCCTTCTTTTCAATGTTGAAATTACATTTAATGTACAATTAAGTGTAAAACCTAATTCCCAAAGAGTTTTGCAAGCATTTCCATATATATTGGATCCATTTTATAATTGTTACTTTATATAATCTTCATATTAGGCTTGCAAATATTTATTTTTTGATTCTTTTTATAAAAATATTATATGGAAAAAGGATCAAAATAAATGTTCACAATGCAATTTTGTTATTTGAGAATTTCATTATCTTCCAACTGTCTATGAACCCCTGACTTTCATAAATTGATATAATTTTAAAACCATCTCATTATCTTCTTTCATAATGGTTCAAGTCTCTTATCATCGAAAATCTCCAACTTTATATATTTGAGCCATTTTTTCATGTAATTAATTATTAAAATATACCTTCAAAAATTTCTATCATTTTCAAAATATAATCTTCATCAACTAAAAAAGAAGAGATTTAACAAATTTATAGTGATTTGCGATAGAATCTCTAGCAAAAGATGTAAAATTAACAAAAACCTTTAGTTAAGTAAGTAAAAGTTAAGAGGATGTATCTTCAGTTAATCTTAATAATTAGAGCTCGAAATGTATCCTCTTTTGTGAATAGATTTAGATATACTTACTTCTTATTTTATTATTGATAATTAATTGTGATTACTAAAAACTCCCTAGTTTTTGAAAATGAATAAATAAAAGTTTCAAAGAAGACTAATTTTTCATAGATTAAGAAACTAAGTTACAATATTTATTTTCAAATGATTATCTAAATTAATTGTTTTTAATTAAAGTTTTAATTTGTGATTATTATATTTTTTATCTTAATATATTTTCTATAATGAATTTACTTCTGAATGATAAAGATGATTTAAATGTTCTTATTGCAGAGAGATTGTAAGAAAAAGAATTTGAAAAAGAAAAAAATATCTCGATTATTAGGAAGTGTTTTGATGATTTACATTAATTATAAAATAAATTAAATGTTTAGATTCAAAAATCTTTGAAAATGTATGAAGATGAAATAAAGAATATTGAATTATCATTTAATTAATATAGAGACTCGATAAGATAATTATGCAATTAGAATCTTGAATAATCATTGTAAACTTATTATTAATTAGAAGATTAATTAATTAATTATAATAGAATCAAATAAATGCTAATAGAGAATTTAAATAAAATATAGATTACAAAACGATTAGATTAAATTAATAAAAACTTAAATGAAATTAAATAATTGTATTAGAAAAGTGAAATTTAGTTAAAAATTGAAACCCTTTTTAAAAATATAAGAGGTATTTCTTAAGGAAAGGATATGGTTTGTGTACCTCATAAAGCAGAAATATGTATGGTAGATTTGAATAAATAAAGTATAATTCCTAATCGATTTGCATGTTCTAAATGCTATAATTAAAATAGATCCAGAAATTTTACTCCTATTAATATATTTTAAGATGATGTAAACTAATTTTAATCTCGCAAACTATTTTACATTAATACAAAAATTTAAGAAATAGAAAACAGCAGTACAATTATAAATAATTTAATTAAGGATTTTGGAAATTAAACAAATATAGAAATATAAAATTCTATTAATCTTAATTTGTAATATAAAGATTTTTATTTTAAAACTCTTCAATCCTAAAAGCTTGATATTGTGTTTAAGTATTCTGATTTATAAGATAATTAAATGATTGAAATTGCAAATCAATTAAGCAATCCTAATAGTTTTAAAATATTTAAATAAAATGTAGATTCACAATATCATTAATTTATTACAGAATCAAAAAAACTTCTTGGTCAATTTTTAAAAGGAAATCAAATCAGAAGTTAAAGCTTAAAAAATCCAGAATTTAAATTACTATAAAATATTAATAAATAAGACAATTAACAAAAATAAAATAAAAAAATGTATTTATTATGGATATTTTTACCTATAATTTTAGCAATTCTGTGTATTATATAATTAAACTTATTTTAGATAAGTACTTAAGTAATAGATTTTGATTAATCTATAAATTCTTAAGCTTTTAATTCTAGCCAGAATAAATCTTAAGATAATGATATATTTATTATAGACAGCATTCATAAACATATATCAAAAGAGGATAATTAATCGAATATTAATTTCAATATAACTCGCCCAGGAGTTGATATTAACTAAGAGTAAATATATAAATTTAAAGAAAATAAATCTCTATTAGAAAAAGCTTAATAAAATCAAAAAAAGAAAACTTATTAGCAGGAATAATTAGAGAAATCATTTAAGTATGAATTGATTTATTCTATTAACTAATCTCAATGGTGTGGTGCTATTTCATTTAATAAAGATTCATCTTTTTTAATTGCTAGTAGTGAGAAGAATATCAATATTTTTGAATTTAAAAAAGGATTAATTTAAACTTTAGAATAACATAAGGATTGGGTTACAGCTTTGTATTTTATGAAGAATTCAAATGATTTTATTTCTGGTAGTGCTGATAAATCCATAATTATATGGAAATTTATGGAAAATAAATTATGGTAGAGAAAATAATAACTTATTGGACATGAAAGTACTATTAATCGTGTCATAATGAATTCTAAAGAAGATCTTATAATATCTTGTAGTAGTGATAAAACTATTAAAATTTGGAAGAAATAAAATGATTTATGGTTTTTGGCATAAACAATTTTAGAGCATAATAAAGATGTTTATAGTATTAGTTTAAGTGAATCTGAAAATAAACTAATATCTTGTGGATAGGATGGCTAAATATTAGTGATGGAATAATAAAAGAATAATTAAGAATGGATTGTAATATAAAAGATTGAAACTAAAGTATTTGGTTATAGACTTAGTTTTATTGGTGATAATTAATTTACATTTTAACCTCATAGAGGTGAATTTATGCATTTATATGAATTGAATAATTTGACTAAACAATATCTAAAAATTAAAGATATTCAAGTAAAAAATGGAAATGTAGAAGATTAGTCATTATTTTCTTAACAATACATTAAAGAGAAATCGCTTTTAATTAATAAATATGGTAGAGTTATTAATCTCGTTTAAAAAAATTAAAATGGAGAATTTCTAAATAAATAATAGATTGAATTTGGACATTATTATTTATATGGATCAGTCACTGATAATGGAGAATATTTGGTTACTTGGAATTCAAAAAATAATTAATTATAAATTAGATAATTTTAAGAAAAATGATTTATCATAATTAAATTATTAATTATAATATCAAAATAAAGATGAATAAAAATTTTGAAAATTATTTATGTTTTACAACCAATTTTCTTTTAATAATTTAGATTATCAAATATATTTTATAAGTCTATTGGACCATAATTTTTATATTGATTATTTCAATTAAATGAAATTGATATTGTTAATTTTAATTTTCTTCTATTTGATTCACTTATCTACAAATATAAACTAAAACTATTATTAAATTAATATGACTAAGAATTAAATAAAAAATAATAATCCGCTTCTCATTATAAAAAATAATCAAGATTAAAACTATGTAAAAAATAATCTGTATTTCGAAAGTTTAACTATTAATTATTTCTAAAAATTAAGTCTACAAATGTGATTTTGTGTCTATTTATCTTCATACAGATAGTTTATTACCATATATATATTCATTTAATTCCTTTGTAATAAAAAATGCTTTAATCAAAATTTATAATTATTATTTATACCTTTATTTTAAAAAAATAACGGTTATTTAGGAATGAAATAAATGATCATTTGTATAAATGATTGAAACTTAAGAAAGATCCTCAAAATTAGAATTTTCAAAAGTTTTTTAGCAGGATTAATATTGTAGAGAAAGAAAACTAGTATAGATTATTAAGATTTTTAAAGGTTATTATTTAATTAAATTTACATAGTACTTTTCTTTCTTCTGAGTTATATCAAGTTTCCACTTTTCAAAAAAAAATACCAAAGAACTTCCATTTCTTTTTAGTAATTTAAAAAAAATATTTTTTTTAAGAAAATACTTCAAAAGCACTAAAGTTGCATTGAAAAGTTTTTTCTTTTATTTCATGTGATAAAAATATTTTTGTATCATTAATTAAATTTATATATAATTAAGAGTCTGAAGTAAATTGAATTTTTCAAAATGAAATTGAGCAGAAAATCTAACAAGTTGAATCAAAGTTTAAATAATAGAAAACGCTTCTAATGAAATAATAATATAAAGGCCTATTGAGTCTTATCTATAGAATGACTTTAGATAAAGAAAAACTCATTCCTAATTTTTCTAATATTTTTATAATATATAACTGTTGAAAAGAAAAGCCTAATTAGAATGGACCATATTTTAATTTAAAATCCCTTTCTTTTCCTAAATAAACTATTCTATAGTCATCAGGAGAAATTGCCATTTAAAATTTATCTTCAATTCCATTTAGGAGTTAGTATTTCTGAAATAATATAAACTCCTTTTTCAATGCTGTGAGATGGATAAGTAAAAAACATTCTTAAATGTGATAAAAAAGGATTTTAAAACTGAAAAAATTTTAAAATTGTCCTCAGATGTAATAGATGCCTCTAAAGATTTTAAGCGCCTATTAAATTTAAAAAGAACTAAAGAACTAAATATTGATGGATAGAAAGGAAGCGTGATTTATAATATCAGGCAAAAACAGCTCTAGAATGTCAAAAAGTTATAGCATTGTAAATAAAAGAAACACATTAAAAGTATATAATATATATTAAATAAATTCATACTGGTAGTTAATCAATATTTGGTTAGTTATTTTGTGTTCTACCAGTTTCTATATATCTTTTCAAACTAGCCTTTTAATGTCTAGCTAAGATAAGAGAACCTTTTGTAGTCTATTCATTCAAAATTTCATTTTTAAATAAATTTTATAATAACTTTTCTTCTCATTTTAGCTGTAAGATCAAAACTATATCTATTTGTCTTAATATGAATTAATCTTTAATTTATCAATTTTGATATTTTTCAAATTAAAAATACAAAAGTATTTCAAATTTTTTTGAGTTAATTAATCAATAGAATTAAAAAGGGGATATTAATTTATAATAGGAGATATACATAAAATTTTGATATGTATATCCCAAAAAAGAAATTCTAATAATATACAATTAAGAATATCAATACTGTGATTGTATCATTTTATTTAATTTAAAAATAAAAATTCATAATTCATAATTCATAATTCATTAATTATTTATGCACTTGCCCTTCAAATATTCAATTAAAGATTTTAGTTTTTCCCAAAATGAAGATAAAACTTCTTGTAATAAAAAGATAAGTTACAAGCTGATAGACAAATAAATATTTATTCCAACAATCCATCCAATCTAATATATTGTTTCATCCTTCAATATTCTGTATCTGTCTTAAAATGCAAAAATAATTGTACAACCAACAATAATCAAAACACAAAAATCTGGGACAAAATTTAAGATATATTGCTTTTTACTTTTATATGGATTAATTTGTAATAATAACAAGATATTTAATAGACATGAAAAAAAGCATAGTTATGTTTAAAAGATAGGTTAAAAATATAAAGTAACAGTAGAAATTATAAAAACAGTTTTTCTTATTAAATTTATAAATGAGTATGCCATAGCCATCGATTATTCAGTTTTCATATCTTCATAAAAACAACCATATCTACAACAAAATAATTAATTCTCTAATTTTACTTAATGTGCTAGAGATATATTATACGAGATGAAAATTATATATAAAATTAAAATAAGAAACCCATATGCGGCTATGATATTCATTTTTACTATAGAATTATTAGCAGTTTATTAATTAGTAATTTAGAGCATTACTGCTAAAGTTATGTCTAAATGACTTAATTAAAATGATTTTATTAAGTTAGCTATAAAATTATTCTTCAAAAAATAACATTTTCTTGTAAATGATTAAAGAAATTTTGGAATTTATATCTCTTATTAAGTATGTTATTTTTAAGCATTTTATATTTCTATGTTTTTTTTTTCCTCACCTAATGAAAAGATTACAAATTAAGGAGTAGTTTTTTTATTTTTTTTGAATATAAACTCTACTAACTTTATAAAAATTACACTAAAAATGAATGTAATTAAAACTTATGATGCAAAAATTAATGGGGTTTGTATATTGTTAAATAATAAAGGATCTATTTCTTTCTCTTAAAATTTAAGTGGAGCAAAAAAATAATAATCATCATTTGGTTTATTAAAAAGTTGCAAAGTTGGAAAATTAATAATATTGCCCCATTCAGCTTATTAAAATATAATTCTAACATTCTCTGGATAATTGACATTTAAAAAATAAAAGTTATTCATCCAGCTCATAATATCTAGAATTGCCAAAAATAATTAAAATCCTCCAAAAATTATAGCTAATGGTGCTAAATATATCTAAGCAGAAAATATAGTTTAATAAGTTGAAGCCATCATTTCTCCTTAATTTTTTTATTCTTCACTTACTAAAACTTATCTTTAAGGTACAATAATTATTTCTTTAATTAAAGTTTCTTCTAGTTCTCTTTTTTTAAATTATTTTAAATAAGAAATGGAAAGATGGATTAAATTAAAAGGTTCTATGGTTTTTAAAAATGTAAATTATATATCAAGTTTATCTTTGTTTTCTATGAAAGTATAATTAAAGTCTAAAATTGAAAAATCTTAAATAGTAATTATTAAACTTGTTAGATTTAATAATTCTTATTCTTAATAGATTAGAAGTGAAAATAAATTATTATTAGATTATTTTTTTTCCACTTAAATGTCGGGTTCTTTTAATAGAGAATGATTATGAATATTATATAAATATCCTTTTTCTAATTGACAAAATTCATTACATCCATCTAAATTTTTTAAATTGTTATCATCACATTCTTCATGAATGTCTAAATGACCATCACCACATTTTGAAATACATTCATAATAGTTATTAAAATCATAAGAGATTCCATGATTACAATTAGTTTAATTTAATTAATTTGAATAAGAATAATTAAAAACAGTACAATTCTTATAATTTTGACTACATTCTAAACAAGTTTAATCACATAAAGAGCATTCATAGAATTAATCTGTAAAATAACCAGTTGCACATTGTAAACAAATTTAAGATTAATTTTATATTTCACATGAAAAGCAATTAAGATCTTAACATCTAGCACATCCTTAAAATTATAAAATTTCATCATAATAACAGAGAAATCCTTATTCTAAAAAACATTAATAGCATCCATCTCTTATTGAATTATTTCCATCATCACATTCTTCTATTTATAGATTTAATATTCCATCTCCACATATATTATCTTCAATTTCAGGGAAATATTAAGATGAATCATATTCACATTAATTATTATTTAATATCAAGTCAGAAATGCATTAATAACATATTCCTTCAATACAATTAATACATTCCTTTTAGCATTCATATTAACATTCATAACATCCATCATAATTAAGGATATTACCATCATCACATTATTCTGAACCAACAATAATTTAATCACCACATATAGTCACACATTAATTATTTACTAAGTGTAATTCCCATCCTTAATTTATACATTTTAAACAAAAACCTTAATTACATATTTCACATTATTCATCACAAGAATACTAACAATTAAAACATCCATCAAATGGTTCTATATTTCCATCATCACATAATTCATTAGATGTTTTATTTGCATTTCCACATTATTCATAACAAACAAATTCAATTAATTCATATCCATTTTAACATTCTAAACATTTACCGAATTGACAATTAATACATTCCTATTAACATTAATATAAACAATTATAACATCCATCAAATTAAATATTGTTATTATCATCACATTATTCAGTACCTATTATAATTGAATCTCCACAAATTTCTTTACATTAAAAGTTCTCTAATTTAAATCCTATATCACAAAAATAACAGTGTCCTTCTTAACATGATAGACAACCTATATCACATTTTAAGTTATAATAATAACATTTTTAATTAATCTACTATATGTATTAATAGCTATTATAATATTCTTACTCTTAATTTGTTAATGCATCACAACTTATTTCTTCACATTAATTATCAATCATTTTATATCCAACTTCACATTAACTACAAACATCAAATGTACATATCAAACAATTTATATTGCAATTTAATTTTAATTAAATTATCATATTTGTTTCATTATCAAAACATTCTCCAATTTATATAATGTTATTATAATTACAAATAGGTATACATTACATTTAACTATAAATTATTTTAGAAATTAATTTAAATCCAGATATACATTAATTACATTATCCTTTTAAACAAAATAAACAATATTCTTAGCAACTTTATTGGCATTAATTACAAAAATCAAATGGATTTAAATTTTAATCATCACATTCTTCAAATTCTTTAACAACAATTCCGTCTCCACATTTTGATTCACATTTTATACCATTTAAATACCATCCATTTAATTCATCACATTTTATACAATTTCCAAATTCACATTACACACAATGATCAATACAAGAATCATTTGAACATAAATAATCTATACAATTGATTATACATTAATTTAAACTTACCTCTAATATATAATTTTCTTTGCATTAATTACAAAATCCATTTATACAATCCTAACAACTATCTTAACAACCTAATTAACATTAATTGCAACCATCATAAGGATCATTATTAAAATCATCACAATATTCACTTTCTACTACTATCCCATCTCCACAAATTGGAAGACATTCTAAATTATTTAAATTTTCTTCATATCCTATATCACATACACATTAAGATCCTTCTAATTTTCTATTTATAGCTGAATCACAAGTTAAACATTTATTAGAATTGTTAGAATCACAAGTCAAACAAGACTAATTGCATATCATACTCTAAACAGGAAAATAAAATAAACAAACATATATGCTTAGGATAAAAAAAATCATTTTAATTAATAACTTATCTATTATCATAATTAATATTGTAGTGTAGATTTATTTTATAGAATTTGATCAAATTTTATTAATAATAAAAATTGTTAATCTATAAACTCTCGATTAATTTCTATAATCGGAATCCTCTAATATTATATATAATATTTAATGTACGAAATGCTATTTTTATATTTAACTTAAATAAAAAACAAAATAAATATGTCTATCGATTTATTTACTCTATAAACTCAATTAATATTAAAATAATATTCATTAGATGAAGAATTTTCAAATTATATTCCTCTTAATCTTTGACTAATAAAGGGATTTACATATATTGATCATATATTTGGTTAAATTATGGATTTATTTATAACCTTATTATATCTAATTCAATAAAGAATTTCAAAAGTTAAAGATAATTCAAATTACAGTAACTTTAAAAGTGGTTGTCTTAATGACTTTAATTAAAAAATACATCTTTTCAGATTGAATCAAATTGATAATAATAAACTAAGTAAATATTATTGAGCATGAGAATATAATTATTCTTGAACATTTATTCTTAGGAGTTTGTCATAGTTTAATTGACACAATAATTTAAATAAAACGCATAATCTTTATTCAAATCAATTGTAATTTAATTTTTAATTTGTAAAGAATTATAAAGTTAAACTTTACATAATATTGTCATTTCTTTTTTTTATGCCTTTATATTTTTATATATAGTAATTTTAGAGAATAAATCTACAAAATTTGAATGATATAACATAAAATTTTTAATTATTTAAAGATTAATGATATTAATGATTGGAATAATTATAACTTTTTCAAAACGTAATTTATAGTAAAAATGATAATTAACCATTTTAGAAAGTTATAAATATATTAAGATATGATATTGAAATGAAGAAAATTTAAAATAAAATACATATTTTTAATTTAGTAACTAAATAATCATTAAAAAATATTGGATGGAGAGCAGGGTTATTGTTTTTTTTTAAATATTCCAAATATTACATCAACTAACCTTCTTAATTATTTATATTTGCGAAAAAGAAACCTCCATTATTGAAAGCCATCCATTCCTAATTGAATACATATTATTGATGTCATAAAAAAAATGCAAAACCAACCAGTTAATTATCTAGTCTAATATTTAAAATATCCTATTTCAAAATCACAGGTAAGAATTGCAAGACCTAAAAGTGTTAAAGAAATGTTAATTTCACAAATTAATTATTTCAAATATTCTGTTTTGTCTTATAACTGGACAAATTTAAATAAATATAAACTCATAGTTATTGATAAAAATGTAATACCACCTATTTAACAAATTGGAAATTCATAAGCAAATACTAATAATATCATAAAAATAAATTTTTTAATTAAGAGAATTGCATTATAATATTTGGATAATTGAATTAATTCAATACCTTCAAAAACTGACCCAAATTTTCTTTATATATTTTTACATTTAAAAGAGTATTGCTTCATTTATAATATTTAAATGACATAATAAATGCTAAAAAGATAGATTGCAAGACCAATTGAAGCTAAAAAAGAGCTAAAACTAATAAAAATATTTGGTGAATTAATTTCTAAGGCATATAATTAAAGTACTATACTAAATGCAAAATCATATGCTGTTGACATATATACTCTTAAAATTCCACTATAGAAGAATTCTGAAATAATAAAATAACAGAAATTATTAATGAAATATTTAACAGCTAAATAATATACTCCGAGTTTTACAAGCAATTAATTTTCAGTTTCAGATTCAGAATAAAATTTAAATTTTATTTTATATAAGATTTTAGGTATAGCTTTTGCAAATACATAGATGATAAAGAGAGCAATCCAAACAGTAATTAGTGATGAGGCATTTATTATAAATAAAGATGTTATCTATTCTCTAGCTACTTTTAGAGGTATTTTTTTGGTATGAGTTTAATAAAGGATTAAATCAATAACACTCTAAATATCAAATATTTTTTAAATAAAATTAATTTAGGCAAACCCAAAAATATCAAAATATATCTATAAATTATAAGGTAATTAAGTGTTGATAAATTTGAGATATGATAACATTTAGAGTGTATCAAATATATTATAAAATGCTTAAATTCCTCCAAATAATATTGATCCTGCACATAAGGCACCAATAAAATAGAGCATATAAACATTACTCTAAGTAGTTCTTTATACTTATGTAATAGTTTTATCATCTGTATAAATGACTTTTGGTATAGAACAAGAAAGCTCTGTTTATACTTGAGAGTATCCATCCCTTGATTAAATAACAGAAATATTAGAAAATCTTACTAATAAAGTTTCATCTTATGAGTCTCTAGAAAAAGTTATATTTATGTTCAAAATTAATTCAGATTGATTTAATTCATTTAGTTTAAAAATCTATTAAGTTAATTCTAACTTTTAGTCAAGTTATTAAATACCACTTTGATTAGAGATATGAAAAGTCAAATAATCTTTTATTTAAAAACCATCTGTAATAACAATATGATAATTATAAGATAATTTGAATAATCTATAAATGGTATAAATATTTTAATTACTTAAACTTTATAAAAAGGGTTATGGATAAATAGGTATAATACTTACATCTTTTATGGTTATATATTATTTTTCTAGTTTGCAATCATTATCACATCCATCACCTTTAATAAGGTTTCCGTCATCACATTCTTCTTCAATTACTTTGATATAATCTCCACATTTAGGTAAACAATTTTGATCTAAATCATTCTCATAATATCCTTATTATTATTTACACATTTAACATTTATTATTATTATTTAATGATTTAAATTTACAACTAATGCAATTCTAAGGTTAATTGAGACATTCTAAACAGTTTATGGAACAATTAACACAATCATTTTTATCTAAAAAATATCCAATTCTGCATTTTGTACATTATTTTTTATTTGTTAAAGTATTTAATTAACAATTTATGCAATTTGATGAACATTCAAAACATATTGATTATTTTAATATTTCATTATGACAAGAATAGTTTTTATCTATTTTACAATTTGAACAACCATCTCTATTTACATTATTACCATCATCGCATTCTTCTCCATATGTCCATATTGAATCATTACAATTTTAATATTTACAGTCTACTTAAGATTTTGCTGAATCCTCTAAACATGAAATACAAATTCCATCTTCATTTTCATAATAATTTTAATGACATAAACATTTATTATCTTTTAATACTCTATTCTATCCTTAATCACAATTTAAACAATTAAATTCATTATCAATACAAGTTAAACAAGATTTATTACATTATGAACAATTAATTTTATTCCAGAAAAAACCTTGAGAACATTGACATTCAAAATTATAATTTAAGGATAAATTTGATAGTGAAATGCATTCATAACATATAAAATTATTTAAACATGTTTTACAGGGATATAAACATCTTAGACATTAATTTTATTATTAATAATATCCATCTTTACAAACACAATAATGATAATTATTAATTTAATATTCAGGTCTACAAGTAATACATTTTTCTGCTAATTCATTACAAGTTAAGCAATTTTAACTACATTATTCACATTTTTATTCATTAAAATAATAACCATCAAAACAATTAATACAATTACTTGGATTTCCACAGATTTAACAATTTTGAATACATTATTAACATTATGATTATGAATCTAGAAAATATCCATCTTAACAAATTTAACAATTGAATTGATTTTAACAAATATCACAATATTCAATACATTTAAAACATCTATTATTTGTAGATAAATAATATTTTTTCTTACAAAGAACACAATAATAAATTGCTTAACAATCAACACAATATTGATCACAACATATATTGCCAATTTATATAAATCCTTCTTTACATACACATTAGTAATTTATAATTGTTTAATTTATATCTATACATGTTAAACAATCACTAAGATTATTAATGCAAGTAGAACAAGGCACTTAACATTAGAAACAGTTAATTCCTTATAGAAGATATCCATCTTTACAAACACATTCTTAATTTGAATTTACAATTTAATTTGTATCTAGACAATTGATACAACCATTAAAATCACATTCATAACATGGTTGTTTGCATTTTAAACATGTTGTTATACTATTAGAATAAAAAGTAGATTTGCATATACATTGTGATTAGTCATTTATTATATGATTATCATCTAAACATGATAAACATTGTGAAGTAGATACATTACAAGTTTTGCATGGTTATAAACATTGAACACAAAAGTAATCGTTATCATAAGTCCATCCAGATTAACAAATACATTATTCTGGTTATTAATATAATTAATCTTAACAACTAATACATTTATTTATTGTTTATACACAATCTTTACATGGTAATTGACATTATATACATGTAATATTATCAGCATTAAGAATCCATCCTATTTTACATACACAGACATTATATTCATTTACTTATTAATTTTAATCAACACAAGTCAGACAATGATTCATATTATCTATACAACTTGAACAAGGAGATAAACATGATTAACAAGTTTAAAAATCCAATTAAAAATATCCAAAAGCACATTCACATTAGTTATGTTAGTTAGGTATAGATTAACTTAATGTAAAAGTAGAGACACAATCAGTACAATTATCAGCAATTAATTCACACTTAGAACATGGGGAATTACAAATTTAACATTAATTTGATCCATCCATGTAATATCCATCATTACAAACACATCGAAAATCTATTACTTATTAATTATTCTCAATGCATGAAGTACAATCATCTGAATAGTTTATACAATTAGAACATGGAGCAGAACAATTAAAACATTCTGAACCTGATAAATATTAACCTAAATCACATGATGTGCAATTATCACTAGTGTTTTCGCATGTCTTACAAGAATTATTACAAACTGAACAAATACTCCCTATTATAAAATAATGATCCACACAAGTTTGACATACACTACTTGATGTGCAAGTGGCACAATAAGTAGGACAAGCATAGCAATTTGAACCTGATTTATAAAACTTAGGAAAACATGTTGTGCATGAAATAGAACTGCAAACTTGGCATCCATTTGAACAAGCAGAACACAACTATGCAATATTTAAACGATATCCTGGATTGCAAGTGCTACAAAATTCTGGAACTTAACAACTTTAACAATTAGATGAACAATTCAAACATAAATCTCCAACTTAAACTTATCCTTAACTACAACTTAAAGTTACTAAAATAATATTAAAGAAACTTACATAAACAATGAAGAAGGATAATTTATATCCTTAAAATAGAACTAGGCATTAATAATAATAATTTATTATTTTGAACAATTGATGATGTAATTAACTTTGAATTAGATTTTATAATTCTTTATTATTTAACTTTTATTTATTTGAGCAGACTTTATTAAAGTATAAAAAATAATCCATTCAATTAAAAAAACAACATTAGAAAATATTTATCTGATTATTTTTTTACTTTGCTGATATAAAAATCTGTCTATTCAATTCATATTAGAATGAATTCCTTAAAATAAATAATTAATTTCAGCTCTTCTATAAAAATTATTTGGACTATTCTAGTATTCTTCGAAACATAACATTTTATAACAAACAGAAGGTTTTTAAATAAGAATCTAAATTTTTTGCTTTTATTAATATAAAATTTTTAACCAAAAAAACTAATAAATATTCTTAATTTATTAAGTTGGAATCAATTCTTCCTTTTAATTTATTATTAATATTTTATCCAAAAATACCAAGATAAGAAGGGAAAACTGATACCCCTAAGGTTTAAGTATAAAAAAATTGAAATATTTAACAAATACAATGAAAATAAGTAGATCAATAATCAAAACTTAGGGTTTTACTAATATGGCCAAAAATCAAAAACTTTATGAAAATAAACTTTTTTGAAAAATTTTTGTGTTATTCAAACTATTTTTTTAACATTATTAAAAACAACCTAAATTTCAAAGATGTATTTTATTCGACATTCTAATAATTTTTTATTTTAACGAGAGAATTTATTTAGAAAGAATTTCAGAACATTTTAAAAATTAAAAATATGTAAATTTTACTTATAATTAAAGAAAAATAAAAGAAAATTAATTTCTAATAAATATATTAAGGTATTTGTATCTTATCTTTTATCTATATCAACTATATTGAATCTAATTTCTAATTTTTTAATATATTACTTAAATATATAAATTCATAATATATTTTTTAAATTGAACTAAAACAATAAACCCACTTTTTTCCCTTTTTTGTATTCACCACTATAAAATATTTAAGACCGAAAGTTGAAATTATCACTTAATTCAATCTATTTTCCTGTTTCTATTGAATAAATATTATCTTTATTTCGTATTTAATGATTGTAAAATTCACAACCACTAAATTTTAGCAAAATTAAGATTCTAATACCTCATCTATTAATTTTGTTATTCCAATTCTAGTAAGTATTCCATGTTCTAATCTTTTATCCATTTTTTAATCACCATGATAAGTAATTTAACTTGCACTATCATATAAACCACCACTATTATTAATTAGGTGAAAATATTAATATGTATAAATACCCATTTTACATTATTTTTTCTATTAAAAATATCCCATCTACTAATCTGTAGACCAATTAAATATAAACCATTAAAAGTAATTTAACTCAAATTTTATAAATAATCTTTTAATAAAAAACTCTTAAAATGAATCACTAAGTTCAGGCTTAGATTAACCTAAATTATATTTTTGCGAAAAAAATAAACAATTTTTCACTGTAAATTATATTAAATATATTATAAATTAGGGATTGTCTACTTCTTTTTAATATAAAAATAGGTGAAAAAACATTTTTTTTGATGATAAAAAAAAATTTTTGTTTTCACCTATTAAAATATTTATCGAGTTATTAATTTAGATGAATATTATTGACTTATACTTTTATCATTGTTTAGGAAAAATTAATATATTTGTTTAATTAATATTTATTTAGATAATCTTAATTATATTATGCTATTGAGATGATATCTATATTTTAATAAATATTAATTCAAGTTTAAATTATAATACATAATTAGTTTAACAAATTTATTTATGATATTTTTTAATCAGGTATTGTAATTTTTATTAATATTAATTCATGTTT